GTGATACCTCAAAGACAGCTTTTCTTGTCTCTGGCCATGGGTGAATGTGGACTTCAGCCCAGCCTGCAGCAGGATTTGCATTTGCCAGGATCCCCAGGAGGGGTGTGTGTGGGTTCAAGTCTGAGGAGCCCCTGCCCTGAGGCACAGAGCACATTCCAGAGTTCGGGCAGCTTGATGAAGGACAGCAGGGTCCCTGAAGGCCAGGGCTGCCGCTGTCTCCTGTAAACAGCAATAGGCTGGACTCGAAATGCCTCCCCACTGTGTTCCCAAAAATCATCTTAGTTTTTTGTATCTTCCTTGCAGATGACTCTTCTACAAAAGTGGACATTAAGGAGACCTACGAGGTGGAAGCCAGCACTTTGTGAGTGCACATGCCACCAAGCCCTGCGATGGGACATGCACCAAATGCATCGCTCCGTGTTGTCCAGGCTGCAGCCAGTTGGCCCCCTAAGCTTAGTTCACTCTCACTAAGCCATCCCCAGACCCACTGTCCCAAGCTTAGTGAGTGGCTGAAGCTTGGCTCGCTGTCCTCCTCATAGACTTCTAGAGCCCTTGCTGTCCCTCTGGTCTCTCCCTGTCCACTTTCCCTTGGCCTCCCAAGAATGAGCTTTTAACAGGCATGTTGGATGGAGCCATTCCCCTGCCCAAGCCTGCTGAGGCACTGGCCTTCTGACCTGTCTCTGCCTCTGCCTGGGCCTCTGTAATAGCTCAGCCCACACACGCTCTCCTTTCCTGCTACCCCCCACCCAGCTCCTCCCTCCGAGCCTGTTGCTCCCCACTCCCAACCCTGCTGCCCACCGCCTTGATCTATGCACTCCCTCCCTTCACTCAGAGCCCAACTCAGAGCCATACCCGCAGGGAGCCCTAGGACCAGGCCAAGCTGACCACCCTGCACGCCCAGCCAGCTCTCCTCTCATCGTCATCACTTAAATTCCTCTGTTTGAGGACGGGGACCCACACACACAGCACAGACTAGGTTTCCTGAAAGGTGTGTGGGATGGAAGGGTCGGGGAAGCTACCCGCTCACATACCACATTCCTTCCCAGCTGTTTCCCTGAATCCATGGATGTGGGTGGCGCATCGCCCCACAGCAAGACCATCAGTGAGAGTGAGCTGAGCGCCAGTGCCACCGAGCTGCTGCAGGACTACATGCTGACGGTAGGCCTCTGCCACAGGGACACTGGACTGCATGAGGGAGGGGGTATCCCAGGGAGGATGCGGGGAAGGGAGGAGAAGGAGCAGCAGTGCAGGGCAGGCTGCAGTGAGTGAGGTCACCTAGGGTACTCTTGGTCAGTTTTGCTGAGATTGCTGTCTTTTCCCGCCGACAGCCTAGGAGAGCATGAGTCAGTGGGGCTGAGCTGGGGGTGCTGTGGTCGTCAGGGCTGGACTGCGGGCCTCTCCTGGGTCCTAGGGGAGCGGAGGGAACGGTGGTCCCTGCAAGGCCACGTGGCCAAAAACTTTTATTCTTCTCATCTTACGTAGTTCTGTCATTGAAAACTCAGTGTTCCTGATCTCCCTGTGTGTAGCCTAAGGGCATGGGCATTGGCCCTGGGCCAAGTTGCCAACTTCCACCCTGCCCTGCTGGCTCCTATCCTTCCTGTGCATTCTGTGTTCCAGCTCAGGAGGGTGGAGCTGTCTGGGTGCCTTGGTTTCCTCTGGGTGGCCTTGTGCCGGACCTGACAGGATGGGAATACATTGTGGGCATTCTGATGCCTCAGCCTATGCAGAGGTGAAACCAGAGACAACTGGTGCTCTGGCTGGAGTCGGCTGTTGCAGGGTAGGCCGGACTGCCGACTCTTGCCCCCTGCGCCCAGCCCTGCACCTGGCTCTGCTCTCTTGCAGCTGCGTACCAAGCTGTCGTCGCAGGAGATCCAACAGTTCGCGGCGCTGCTGCACGAGTACCGCAATGGGGCCTCAATCCATGAGTTCTGCATCAACCTGCGGCAACTCTATGGGGATAGCCGCAAATTCCTGCTGCTTGGTGAGTGGGCCCCGGAGAGAGACTGGCTTGTCCAAACCTGGCTTGGGGAAGCTGATCCCTCCTGGGAACGTGCACACGGACCCCTCAGTGGGTGCAGTGGGGGCTCCATCAGGGATGGGAAATTGGAACTAGAGATGGCCATGAGAGCACAGTCCAGAGATCAGGAACTCCTTCTGTGCTGGGCCCTGTGTCACTTCCTGGCATGGGGCTCTGTGTGCCCACCCACAGTGGGGAGTAGAGTTTCTGAGAGACACACTAGGTTACCCAAATAAGAGCGCAGCCCTCTGAGTTGGGGCAGTCACCCTGGGCCAGGCCGTGGCAAGGAAACAGTGGACTTTGGCATGAGGCCTGCCTCTGAGGACTGCAGCCTTGTTGCTGTGTGCCAGCAGGTGACCTTGAGGACTGCTCTGGGCCTCACTTTCCCTACTGTAAAATGGGGACTTCGTGAGGACTGGTACAGAATGAGAGGAAGCCACAGGCTCTTGGCCTGTGCTGGTGCCTCGAGGCCAGGGTGGGTGCACGTGGCAGAGGCGGTTAGCTGTCAGGGCCAGCAGCAGTGCCTGTCAGAGGAGGTTTTAGCCAAACTGTCTGGACTCAGGAAACATTATTTCAACCAGGATGCTAGATGCAGGGAGCATGGCATCAGGGTCCCCCAGGCCATGCACCAGGGGCAGCTGTGGCCCTGTCAGAGGGCTCTGAGCCCTGGGAGAAGAGCTGAGTGGGCTGAGCCGAACTGGAGGTGCCCTCTGGGTGTCGTGTGTCTGCAGGTCTTAGGCCCTTCATCCCTGAGAAGGACAGCCAGCACTTCGAGAACTTTCTGGAGACCATTGGTGTGAAGGACGGCCGTGGCATCATCACCGACAGCTTTGGCAGGCACCGGCGGGCCCTGAGCACCACGTCCAGTTCCACCACCAATGGGAACAGGGCCACGGGCAGCTCTGATGACCGGTCAGCGCCTTCAGAGGGAGATGAGTGGGACCGCATGATCTCGGACATCAGCAGCGACATCGAGGCGCTGGGCTGCAGCATGGACCAGGACTCAGCATGACGGGCAGTGGATGGTGGGGCACCCAGACGTTCTGCACAGTGGTTATAGGCCTTTCTGAAAGGAGCTGCCCAGACCTGCGTGTCAGCCCTTGGTCGGGGCCAGCAAGAAGCTCCAGGCACAGGTAGCCCTGGGCGGCCCGGGTCCTCTACTGTGAAGGAGCAGGGAGCTGCCGAGGGACACGAGCCCCAGTGCGGGTGGAAGGCTCTGCCTTGTCCACCAGGGCTCAGCCGAGCCCTGCAGCTGTCCCCGCTCGGGGAGGGCCTGGCCAAGCTGGCAGGGAGAGCGTCCTGTCGGCTGGGCCCTTGGACAGCTGTCAGTTTTGCACATGATGTTCCTATTGTAACTCTCAGAGACCTTAAAAAGTTTACTGCAATGTGAATAATTTAATCTCTGGTTGCCAAGCATGTTTCTTATCCAGTTGGGTGAAAACCGTTGGTGCCAGGAGGGGTGTCCGCTCTGGCCTCTGTCCCTGGGTCCCCGTCTGCCCTGCAGCACCTGGGACTCAGCACATTGTTCCCGGGGGTGGGGCAGCTCTTGCGCCACAGGAAGGACTTCATTTTGACTTGGGCAGTGTGGATGTGGGGCAGGAGCGAGTGTTCTAAGCCCTTCCATGGGGTAGCGTACGGCATGTGTTGGGGGCACCTCGATTTTTACATCCTGTGCACTTGGAGGTACTGGCTATGCCCAAGCCCACCCCCCACCACCCCTGTGCTGCAGGTGTTTTCCTCAAGCAGCCTGCACTCCCCCACGGAAAACAAGTGCTACCTGAGATCTCATCACCTTGGAGCCCAGGGGCTGCGTCTTCGGAGAGGCCAGAGTGCAGCTCTGCCGACCCTCCCTGTGTCCTCATCGTGGGTCGGTCTGCATCCCTGTCCCATGAGCTCTCCTCCCCAAGACCTGCTGGCCTTGGTCTTGCCTGTATCCTTTGGGCCGTCACAAACCTTCCTTGGATATGGGGAGGGGAGGAGAGGGGACCCGGGTCAGGTGCTCCTGGGCCTCTCCCTCCACTGGAGAGTAGCTACACGAACCACTGAGACCCTGCAGGGGGACCGACATCTGGGAAGGATATTGGCTGTCACATCTCCCTCCTGCCCAGGCTGGGGGCCTGGCCTTACTGGGTGGAGGGGCTGCATGTCAGGCCCCCGGGCTTCTCTGACCCAGGTGTGGGGGAGAAGGGAGAGCCTCTGGGGCTCCATGGACACCCCGATTGTGTCCAGGGCAAGCCAGAGGATCTGGAGTTCAGGCACCTTCTTGAATAAGGTGGATGGGTTTGTGCAGTATTACAGCTTCTGGACAGGAAAGGGCCTGGTCAGTGTTGGTTGGTTGTTTTTTGAGATGGAGTCTCCCTCTGTTGCCCAGGCTGGAGTACAGTGGCACGATCTCAGCTCACTGCAACCTCCGCCTCCTGGGTTCAAGTGATTCTCCTGCCTCAGCCTCCTGAGTAGCTGGCACTATAGGCGCCCACTACCACACCTGGCCAATTTCTGTATTATTTTTAGTACAGATAGGGTTTCACCATATTGGCCATGTAGGTCTTGAACTCCTGACCTTGTGATCTGCCCGCCTCAGCCTCCCCAAGTGCTGGGATTACAGGCATGAGCCACCGCACCTGGCCTTGGTCACTGTTTTATGGGTGAGTTTTCCCACTATACTGAGCCGTTGTAGAGCTGTTTGTTTATACTCATGGGACCAGGCCAGGCTGCGCCAGGTGGCAGGCCATTTACTACTGATGCTGTCTCTAGGTTTATATGAAAATGGACGTGCCCTGGAAGCACAGAGAGGCTGAGGATGAACTACACAGTCCTGGGCTCCTGCCCCCGACCAGAGCCTGCCCTGTGCCAGAAGCGCCAGTGTTCCCCTTCCAGCCCATGGGTTGAACATGGCCTTGCGTGGGCTTTCTGTGTAGAGCATCACAGGAACCACTCACCTGCCCCTCCAGCGCCCATCCCAGAGGTGATCCCCATGCTGTGGTCATTGGTTTTTGCCAGCAGAAAGAGTAGAGGACATGGAGCAGATGAGGGGGAACCAGAGAGCAGTGAGGGGACATGGGGGGGGGTAATGAGGGGACACCAGAGGGCGATGAGGGGACATCCAGAGTGAGGGGATACTAGGGAGTAATGGGGACACCAGAGGGTGATGAGGGGACACGCAGAGGGCGATGAGGGGACATCCAGAGTGAGGGGATACTAGGGAGTAATGGGGACACCAGAGGGTGATGAGGGGACAGCAGGGGGTAATGGGGACACCAGAGGGCAATGAGGGGACACCAGAGGGCAATGAGGGGACACCAGAGGGCAATGAGGGGACACCAAGAGAGTGATGAGGGGACACGCAGAGGGCGATGGAGGGGACACCCAGAGGGCGTTGGGGGGACACCCAGAGGGCAGTGGGGGGGACACCCAGAGGGCGGTGAGGGGACACCCAGAGGGCGGTGGGGGGGAACACCCAGAGGGCGGTGGGGGGGACACCCAGAGGGCAATGGGGGACACCACAGGGTGATGGGACACCGGGGAGCAATGAGGGGACATCAGAGTAATGAGACACCAGAGAGTAATGAAGGGACATCAGAGGGCAGTGAGGGGACACCACAGAGCAATGAAGGGACATCAGAGGGCAGTGAGGGGACACCACAGAGCAATGAAGGGACATCAGAGGGCAGTGAGGGGACACCACAGAGCAATGAAGGGACATCAGAGGGCAGTGAGGGGACACCACAGAGCAATGAAGGGACATCAGAGGGCAGTGAGGGGACACCACAGAGCAATGAAGGGACATCAGAGGGCAGTGAGGGGACACCAGGGAGTGGTGAGGGGACATCAGGGAAATGAAGGGATGCTAGGGGGTGATGATGGGACTCCAGAAGGCGAGGAGGAGACACCAGAGGGCAATGAAGGGACACCGATTTATTGAGTAGCAGAGCTAAGGGAAGGCGCAGGATGGCTCCAGCTTCTGGTCAGTGGCTACATGGTCAGTTCCTGCAGAAGGAGACAGTCATGTTGTTGGAAGCACCCCCCTAGTGGAGCCAACAGCGAGACTCCTCTGAGGCCCTTGGGGACAGCTCAGGGGCAAGGAAAGGGGCCAGTGCTTGCTTACCATGATGGCGTTGACGATGTCACTGTGGTTGTCTCTCAGAGCCCGCACGGCCTTGGCCCTGGACACATTGGCCTGCGCCATCACCAGCTCAATGTCACGCAGTTCCAGCCCCGCCTCGTCCACCTGGGGTTGGGGGAGCAGGGAAGTGGCTGGAGCTGTTTGCGGTCCGTGGGGCAGAGCCCCCATATAGTGCATTTCACCACCCACCCCCTGCAAGATCCTGGAGCCCCTGCACCTCACCTCTTCCTCCTCCTCATCTTCCTCTTCCTTGCACTCCAGTCTCACCCGGGGCCTGGGTGCTGACTCAGGGACCAAGGCTGAGGGCTCTGAGGGCACCTTGAACTTCTCAGCTGCAGCCTTGTGCACTTGCTGGGACAGGTCCTCAATCTGCAACATGGAAGACAGCTGTGTCAGTAGAGCCTGCACCCTCCTTGTCCCCCATCCCTCGGACCCCCCCATTCCACCACAAACCTTGGCCTCGCCAAAGACCACGTAAGTGTCTGAGGCCGGGCTCTTGAAGACGTCAGGCTTAGCGATGACAAAGAGGATGTTCTTGGACTTCTGGATGGTGATCCTGGTGACTCCCTGAATCTGCCGCAAGCCCAGCTTTGACATCGCCTGGAGTAGAGGGCAGAGTGGGGCTCAGACCTGGTGTGAGCCCGTGTCGGGGGAGGAGAGCAGCACAGTGCGCAGGAAGGCAAAGTCTCCACCGCCAACTGTTTAGGTTGTCACTCCACCCTCATGACATCCCAGCCTCAGCTGTTTAGGAGAAGGTGTGTGGGTTACTGGCATTGACCCAAAGGCCCCCTGATGGATGGGATTTCATTAGCCGTGGAGTGTGAGGGTCTTGGTAAGGATGTTTCCCCCACAGGTGGTCCCAGGGCCACCAGCCCACCTTTCGGGCCTTCTTCTCACTGCGACTTTGCTTGGCTTTGGCTGTGGTCTCTTCACTGTCGCCTGCTGGGGCCTGAGAAAAGGTGAGAGCTGAGCATCCATGGGTTGGGTGTGGGGCCCTCCCAGAGGCCCACCATCTTCCCTGGACTGGGCACCTGGGCTGGACACTGTGCGGTTTGAGGAGCCAAGATGTCCTGCTCATCCAGCTCAGCTGACGACTCCCCATGGCTATCCGAATGCTGGTTTGAGCCCGGGACCCGAGGCGAATCTGGGGAAGGGGAGAGGTGTGAGGATGCCTCTTGCTTCTAGTTGGGGGGGCAGGGGGGGCAGGACCCTGGCCCTGCTGCAGCATCAGGGCCAGGGGAAGCAGTGCCAGCTCTCCATGATGGCCATGCATGGGTTTTGGGCCCACCACCCCACCACCTCAGAGGCCCGACAGGACAGGACAGCTCTGAGGAGGAGTCCAGTTGACCCAAGCCCAGGGCACTTAACTCCCACCCTCCCTCTTACCTTCCTCCAGGCTGTCCTCGTCCTCTTGCTGCTCGGGGGCTGAGAGCCCTTGAGGGCCAGCTGGGCTCTGGGGCCCAGAGCGAGGAGGCACTTGGCAAGGGAGTGAGATCTGCAAGGCCAGGTCTTTGGCATCCGTGGGGGCCACCTTGGGGCTGAGTAGTGGGGAGTGAGGCGAGAGGCTGACTCCCAGCCCAATCCCCAGAGGCTGAGTGGTTCCTGAGACGGCAACAGTGGCAGACTGGGCTCCTGCCTGGGGCGGTGGGAGGCCCAGAGAACCTGGGGGCTCCTTGCCTTCCACGGAGTCTTCCTGGGGGTCCTGGCACAAGCAGGGGGCTGGGGGTTCCAGTGGGGGTAGGGCTGCCTCAGCAAGGATACCAGGAACAGAAGGGTCAGGGCCCAGGAGCCTGTCCAGGGGTACGCTGGGCACACCCTTTGCAAGGTTTTCTGGGGGCTGCAGCAAATGGGGGCCAAGGATACTAGGTGCTTCCTGGGGTTGCTCAACACTGCCCAGGCCCAGCACAGGCTCCAGCTGCTCGGAGGTTGGTGCAGACGTGGGGGCAGGTGCTTCAGGGCAGCCTCTGTCCAGCCTGGACACAGCCCCTACTGAAGACTCTGGGCAGGAGTCCAGACAGGCTTCTGTGGCCACAGCTGAGGGAAGCCCGGGCTCCAGGGTGAACTTGCCACTCGGGCCGCTTCCCTCCCTGGCTGGGCTCAGGAGCTGGGCCTGGCTGGCCTCAGGGCAGGCAGCAGGAGGAGCCTCGGGGAGCTCCCCTGCACCTCCCAGGGCTGACCCGGGTCCACATTCCTGTGCCGGTGGCTTGAGGCCTCCTTCCTGCTGGTTCTCAACCTCCAGGGTGTCCTCTGGGGGCAAGTCCCCATCACCTGTGTGCGCTCCGGCTCCCAGACATGCTTCCCGTTCGGGCATAGAAAGGGCTTCTGCTCCTTCCTCCCCCACACCAGAGGCGGGCTCAGGGAGATGGGGGGCCTCCAGGCCCAGAGTGGGACCTGCATCTTCCAGTGCGGCCCAAGGTGTCCCAGCGTCTGCAGCTGGCTGTGGGTCATCCTGTTGGACCTGGTCCAAGGCTGCAGGCTCTGGGACTCTAGGGAGGGCTACGTTCTTCTCAGGTGCTGGCCTGGCGCCTGAGGCTGTACCTACTTCCTGCTGAGCCATGGAGGCCACGGACTCTGTCCCTGGGGTGCAGCCTGCTTCTGCCTGCAAGGTCTGAGGGGTGGCCACAGCCAGAGGCTCTGGAACTGAGGTGGGGCCTGTGTCTTGTAGAGGCAAAGGTGCTGTCACAGCGGAGTCCTGGGGTAAGGTGAGGCCCTCTTCAGCCTGCTGGGGCACAAGCGTGGCTGTAGCCACGGGCTCTGGGCCTGACGGCAGGTCCAGCCCTCCTTCTTCCTTCGAGTTCTGAGGGGAGACTGGACACAAAGCGAGGCTTGCTTCTTCCTGTGGGGTTGGAGGTTTTTCTGCAGTGACAGACTCTTGGCCTAAGATCTCGCCGATGCCCTCCTGGGAGGGCTGAGGCGCTGCCATGGCAGCAGGTGTTTGTCCAGCGGTGGAGTCCACTTCCTCCTCCCCAGCCTGAGGGGTCATCCTGGTAGCCACCTCCACCTGGAGGCCGAGGGCCACCTGCAGAGTGTGAGGGGTCACAGTGGCAGTGGACTCCTGGCCTAAAGCAAGGCCCTCTTCTGTTACTTCTGAGATGGATTCCTGTCTCTGGGAGAGACGGGCCCCTCTGTCTGAGGTCTGAGAAACAGCCTCCAAGGCCCAGGACAGAGTCCCTTCCAGAGCCTGCAGCCCCTCGGCCCCGCCTCCGCTCTCCTCTTCTGTCTTCTGGACACTGTCCTGGAGCAGGGTGGGCTGGGCGTGGGGCTCCCCGCTGTACAGCCTCTCGTCATCTGCCTCTGCGTAGGAGGCTGAGTCGGAGTCAGAGGAGGCTGCAGAGGTGTCGTCCCGGAAGGCGAAGGCCTCGTCCATGCCCTCCGTGATGGACAGGTCAGACAGCGACTGGAGGAAGGAGGCACACGTGCTGTCCTCCTCGCCCTCCCCCGCCAGGTCCCCCCCTGCGCTGGGAGCTGCCTCGACCTCCTCCTCTTCTTCCTCTGGGGATAGAGGTGTCACCTCCACTGCCTCCACCTGGAAGATAAGGCTGCCCTGGAAGGGTAGGAGGGCTGCGGGGATCATCGGGTCATTGGCCAGGAAGTCCAGGTCGAAGAAGTGGCCCTCCTGGCCCCAGGAGGAGCTGCTGTCTGCAGAGAGGCTGGACTCAGAGGACTGGGGCTCTGGGGTCCCTGCAGGGTGCAGCGCTCGTTCGTCTGCCATGGACCCCTGGGGGGACAGGCCCCAGCCTGAGGGGAAGTCCAGCCCTTCATCTGGAGCCAGCAGGCTGAGGGAACAGGAGGGTGAAGAGGCCCAGCTGTCCCCATCAGCCGTGATGTAGGAGCCCGAGGGCGAGGCAGGGGGCGAGTCCAGCAGCTCATCCTGCATCTCAACCTCTGAGTCCTGGGCGTCCCCATGGGGACCGGAGCCAGGAAGCAGGGCATAGGTGGTCTTGGTGGGGGTGGAGGGAGGTGTGAAGAAGGAGTCAGGGTCTGGGGGAGGGAAAGGCACAGAAAGATCACCCTGAGAACACAGCTCGGGGGGTGGGTCCAGGCTTGTGTGCCCACCCTCCTGGTCCCTGAGCGCTGTCCGGGCAGCCCTGGGTGACAGGAGGGCCTGGCATGTCTCCTCTCCCATCACAATCCGGGGCTCCAGGGTGGCCGAGAGAGGCACCTCAGTGGGCAGAGCCTGGGACAGGCCCTCAGGGAGGAGCTTAGGGCTCGGGCCGCCCTCTACTGGGTCTGCCCAGGCTGAGGGTGCCCCACCAGGCCCTGCATCCCAGCTGGCTCCCTCGGGCTGGGGCCGGGCACCCGGCTTGCTGGGCAGAAACGTGAGGGCCAGGTGGCTGGGCCCTGGGGTCAGAGCACAGGGTTCCCGCCGGTCCCCTCCCAGGATGGTGGTAGCAGCAGCCGCATCGCAGGACAGATCTGTGGAGATAGAGAAGATCGTGAGGTGCCCTTGGATGCATCTCCCAGGCAAGGGCCAGGCCCAGGGAGATGAATTCATGCTACAAAGAGCCCAGAGGAGGGCAAATCCAGGAAGGCAGAAAGGATCCAGGAAGGCAGATCCAGGAAGGCAGATCCAGGAAGGCAGAAAGAAAGGGGAAGACGCTGTTTGCGCTGTGTTTGAGAGAGAACTTCCAGGAGTTTTGACAGCAGAGAGCGGCTGCTGGCAGTTTCCTAGAGAGGGGTTTTGAGGGAAGTGTTGCTAGGAGTCACGAACAGACCTGCTCGGCGGAGACCTGCTCAGTGGCTTTTCTCAAGGACACCTCAGCAAAGAACCAGCATTTCGGCCTCTCTGGGGAGACTGGATTGCAGTTTCCATTCCACAGAATCAGTGAGGCTCAGCTGGGCTCAGCGGGAGGGGCTGGCAGTGGGAAGCTGCTGGGCGGCACCAGCCCCTTCCCAGGACCTCCCAATAGATGAGCCACGTGGGGCGAGCAGCACTGGCACACAGGGCCGGCACACAGCTCAAACACTGCAGGCCCCACTCTGCCTCCTCTCTCTGCTGTCCGTGCTACCTATGCTTGAGGCCAACATATCAGGGTTTCACCAGGCCCCTCCAACCCTGATCCCCTGCTGCAGTCAGGGAGATTGGAAAGCCAGGGCCGGCACACAGCCAAACTTCTGGAGAACAGAGAAGTGTCCCGCAGAGGCTGTGTTGGAGCATTTGGCCAGAAGGGCAGTGGTGGGCAAGAGGGGTGACTGTGGAGCCCAGCAAGAGCACGGGACAGCTTCAGAAGGGCAACAGCAGCCTCTGGCCGAGTCCTCTCCTTGGTGGCAGCCACCTCGTGGGTGAGCACCAGTTCCTTTCCAGGTGCTGGGAGCTCCCACCCTACCCTATGGGCCTTCTCTGGGTCCCATGGTACACTCCCCCAACCCCTGGGCAGACTTTAGCATGAGGAGGCTGCAATACTCACTAAACATCTGTGGTAACACACCTCCAGCGGAGAAGAGTCCATGCACAGAGGAAGTAGTGCACATGGCTCAGAAAGGACTTACGGAACTCGGGAAGACAGAAGAAACCCTCTCCGAGGTTGCAGTACCCCACGCTGCTATGGTTTTCTGCCTCCTGGATGCTTACTGGCCTGCATTTTATCATAGGTGAGATCATAGTGCACATTCAGTTTTGAATCTAGCTGTTTTCACTCAGCTAATCCCGTAAGCATTTGTCTGTGTGCTCTAAATGCTCGTAAGCCTCATTTTAAATGTCTCCATTATGTCCACTCCCTCACTTGGACCCAGGCCAAAGGCACTTCTGCTTGAAGCATCCGATGAAGGCCCTTCAGTGCCCAGGCCAGGTCTTGCCCCAAGTAGGGGAGGGGTGGCATACAGGGGCCAGCTCTCCAGGCTGCAGATGCCTGCCCAGTAGGCCCCTGCTCTACTGGCACTCACCGGTGACCAGGATAACATCTCCTGTACCTCAGCCTTCTCATCTGCAAAGCAGAGCCAGGATTAGAGGTGAAGCTGAAATAAGGGGCCCTCTTGCAAAGCTGCTCCCCCTCCCCTCAGCAGCATCAGAGCCCTGAGCCCTGGGCCACCCACTAAAACTCGTCACCTGAGGGCTTTGCTGCTGGGGTAATGGGACAGCCAGAGGGTCCTGAAAAGAACAGGGTGCTTTGGGTTCCCACATGCCTGACACCCAACACCAGGAGTGGGCGTGGCTGGTGGGGCATCACTGGGTGCCCTGAAGCTGGGCTCTTGGCTCTGGCCCATGGTGTGTCCCCCAGGGCAGGGGAACAGCTGAGGTGTTGGAATGGAACAGAAACCAAAGGCCAAAGTGTTTTATAACTCATTCAAGGTCACCAAGGAAGCCAGAACAGAGCCAGCAGAAGACCCTGGGGCTGGGAAGTCCAGGCCTGCACTGCCTGCTTGCCACTTAGAGCAGAGGCAGCAGCCTGTGTCACCCCTAGACCAGGCCCCAGGACCCAGCACTGGTCCCATCTCTGAGTGGCTTCTCGCCCACAGCAAGGTGCCCTTGGCCCTACCCACACATGGCTGACCTCCACGCCAGGACCGTCCAGAGTTGGCTCTTTCTAGGCCCAGGTAGACTCCATCAGCCTCCACCAGTAATTGTTGACCCAGCCTCTCTAAGACTGCACACCCAGGTGGTATGCACACCCAGGGCCACTGCTAATCAGGCCACCTCCCCCAAGGCCTTCCACCTTCCAGACCCAACTTAGCCTTTCTTCCACAACCTGGACGGCTCTCCGGGCTTCCGAGGCTCTGGCCGGTCCTGCTCCTCCCTCCAGAGCCATGACCAGTCCCCAGGCTCAGAAAAGCCCTGGTGCAGCTGAGGACCCTCCTGGTGGTCACCTGATCGTACTGGGGGTACATGCTGGACACCCCGCCTCCGGAACCCACTGCCCCTGTCCAGAGCAGCTCAGCCCCAGCAGGCTGGCAGCTCCGTCTGTGCAGACAACGGGATGCAGCGAGTGGGATGCGAGCCCCACCACCCCTGGATCGGAGGCCAAGGGCTTAAGCCCCACGTCCTTTCTGGCTCGCTGAGGGCACTCCGTGTGCCCCACCTTCCCTGCAATTCTGAGAGAGGCGGGGGCAGGGTTCAGGTGGAGGGAAGGGCAGGGCGCGGAAAGGGGAGTGGACTGGAGGGGTGTCAGGAGGATGGGGAAGGGAGAAGGCTAGGAGAGGGAAGCGATGGAGAAAGAACCCCGGCTGGAGGTGGGAGCGAGCGGCTGGAAGCAGGGAATGAGTGGTCATGACCTCACCTGTGCGAGGCCCAGGTCCGTCCGCCTCGGGCAGCAGCAGCTCGGCGCGGGCAGCCTCTCCAGGCATGGCCTGGCCGTGTCCTCGCCAGTCCCTCAGTCCCTCTGACCCTCCGTCAGTCCGTACTGCCGCCCCGCGGAGCCTGCGCGGCCACCGCCCCTTGGCCCGGCGGTGGGGGCAGTGGGTGACGTCAGGCCACCCCGCCCGCCTGTCCCCGTGAGTGAGCGTGCGCCGGCTTGCCAGGCACTGCGGAGGGCGTGGGGTGGGGGGGCTCCCTCCCCACCCCCGCCCCACCCGGCTGTGGCCTTCCTCTTGCTGTGCGCTGTTTCGCTGTTTCGAGGGGGAGATGGGGTGGGTGCCTGAGCCTGGTCCCGCCCTTTCCACAGCATTCCCCCCCTTTACGAGGGAGGGTTTCAGGACCAATTGGAAGCCAGGCTGCCCCAGGGTGGCATCAGCCCGTGGCCGGGAAGAGGCGGGGACGTCCCTAGAACCCTGGTTGTGGGAGACTGGGGAGGTGGTTGGGATCCTGGGATGCTCACAGCGCTTCGGGTGGGGGTGGTGGCGCAGCCTCCTTCCCGCTGACCGAGCAGAGGTTGCAGGGCCTGGGGAGGGAGGGGGCCCCACCTAGCCCGATGCCTCCATCCAAAAGGTAAGCTGGAGCTGCAGCTCCAGAGTGATTGGCTGGTCCTGGCAGTCGTCGGTCTCCGTGGCAACCGCCTCCTGTCTCCATGCCAACCAGGGATGGAACCGGCTAGAGCGCACCAGGGAAGGCGGCCCGGATGGGCCAGTCTCCAGGTCTCTTGGCAACTCGGTGATCTGTCCCTTCACCTCCCATCCACCCCCACACTTCTCTAGGCAGTACAAGGAAAAGGGAAGAAAGTGCTTCCCTCTGTTCCTGGCAGCACCGTCTGCCACACCTCCCAGGAGGAAGCCGGCCCCATGAATTTCCTGAAATGCCTCTCGCTTCCACACAGGCTGCTGCTGTGCCACCCGGATTCACTGAGCACCCCTCCTCCCCGGTGCCAGGCACCAGGGAGACAGATGAATGAGACATTGTCATCACCCCTAAGTGGGGTCAGGGGAATCAGAGTAGCCATTGTCACAGGCAGGAAGGGAGCTTTCAACATCCTCAGTCTTCTGTGGGTTCTAACTTCAAGCTCATGAAATCAGAGACTGACCTCTGACTCCCCCAGACCTGCCTCAAGGCTCAGTGCTACACACCTGGCTGCCTGCTGTAGCCCAGGAACCAGAATCACCAACCACACCATCAGAATTAACATCAACTTTAAACAATCCCTTCCAGAAAACAGAAGAGAAGGGGACACTTCTTAACTAATTTTATAAGGCAAGAAATATCCTGAAGTCAAAACTAACAAAATATCAACACCCCCAAAGTGCCCCAAAACAAAAACTGCAGACCATTATCTCATGCAGGCAACCACAGCCAGCTAATTTTTGTATTTTTAGTAGAGACAGGGTTTCACTATGTTGGCCAGGCTGATCTCGAACTCCTGACCTCAGGTGATCCACCAGCTTCCCAAAGTGCTGGGATTACTGGTGTGAGCCACTGTGCCCAGCTCTAATTTTTATTTTTTTATTTGAGATGGAAGTTTCGCTGTTTTGCCCAGGATGGAGTGCAGTGGGGTGATCTTGGCTCACTGCAACCTCCATCTCCTGGGTTCAAGTGATTCTCCTGCCTCAGCCTCCTGAGTAGCTGGAATTACAGGCACATGCCACCACGCTCAGCTAATTTTTGTAGTTTTAGTAGAGGCAGGGTTTCACCATGTTGGTCTCAAACTCAAACTCCTGACCTCATGATCTGCCCACTTTGGCCTCCCAAAGTCCTGGGATTACAGGTGTGAGCCACCATACCTAGCCTGGTAAAAATTATTTAGCAAAAATAAAGCTGAGTTGAAAGGGGCCAACAAAATAAAAATGAAAGAGAACAAATTAAAGCTTCTAGAAATGGCCTGAAAGGCAAACAGCAAATGAACAAACATCTATTCAAGGCCAGGTGTGGTGGCTCATGCCTGTATTCCCAGCATTTTGGGGGGCTGAGGTGGGCCAATCACTTGAGATCGGGAGTTTGAGAGCAGCCTGGCAAACATGGGGAAAACCCGTCTCTACTAAAAAAAATACAAAAATTAGTTGGGTATGGTGGCACATGCTTGTAATCCTAGCTACTAGGGAGGCTAAGGCAGGAGAATCGCTTGAACCCAGGAGGCAGAGGTTGCAGCAAGCTGAGATCAGCCTGGGTGATGGAATGAGACTCTGAAAGAAAGAAAGAAAAGGAAAGAGAGAGAAAAAGAAAAAAGAGAAAGAAAAAGAGAAAGGAAGGAAAGAAGGAGAAGGAAGGAGAGAGAAAGAAAACAAAGGGAAAGAAAAGAGAGAATGAAAGAAAAGGAGAAGAAAGAAACATACATCGATTAAAGAAAATCTTGAGAATTTAGGAAGAAAGGCAAGAGTCTGTGGTATTTGAACCGAGACAACTCACTCCAGCAAAGGGAGGTGGACTCCACACCAGACTGGTATCACCAAGAACACAGGCTTCTCTTCTCCCATCTCCCAAAGGGCTTTCTTCCTAGGAGGAGGGAGTACTTCAGTGTATCTCACCCCCCTCCCAGTTGCCTGTTGTGGGAGTGAGTCCTGGGTGAGTCTGGCTGAGGTGGGGTTCCCTTCTTCCACTTAGCCCCTATTTGTGGAAGGCAGGCTCTACCTTGGGTGTGAGATGTTAATACTGGGGTCCTGATAGCCCTTCTCGTGGCTTATGTGGTGACAGTTCCGTACCAGGAGAGGCTGTTGCCTCCCTTCCAGACTGCTCAGCTCCTAGAGTGGGAGTGTGACGCAGAATTTTGCCACTGAGCTCAGAGATTTTGCCTGGAGGGAAGAGGCAGGTTGTAAAACAGCCCAAGATCTCTTCCCATAGAAACTGACTTTACTTGCAAGGGAATACGAGGAAGTTTAAACCCAAGGGTATTCTCAAGAGCAGTAGAGGTTATGGTGAAAGGCAACTGGAAGGAGATTCATGGATCTAATTGGTTAGTTTGCAAGAGAAAATGCGGTAATAAGACAGCTGGGTGGAGACCTACTGGGATTGGAGACAGTATAAAACACTGACCTCTGAAACTATTCTAAGAGGCCACAATTTTGATTAGTTTGCAGAGGAATCTGTGCCCAGAGTATTGTTGAAAACAAGCCATCAGCGGAGTTTAGAAGTGGCAGTTAGTGGAGTTTAACAGCTGGGCGTGGTTAGGAAAAGAGAGTAAGATAGCCTTATCAGAACCACTGTCATTCCAGGGTGACTGTGGGCATACCCATAGCTGCACCTGCCTGAAGAGGATCATCAGAGGCTGAAGACTGTAGGGGAGAGGGACAGACCTCACCAAAATAATCCAACTAGTCACTAAGCAAATAAACAAGCCAACAGCAGAACAAGCCCCAGAAGGGAGGGAGATTGGACCTGTACCGAGTTGCTATTTGGCAGTTCATTTATTTGTTTAATGGTATTACAATGTCCACTTTTCAGCTGGGCGTGGTGGTTTATGCATGTAATCCCAGCACTTTGGGTGGTCAAGGTTCGCCGATCATGAGGTCAGGATATCAAGACCATCCTGGCCAATAGGGTGAAATCTGTCTTTACTAAGAACACAAAAATTAGCACACGCCTGTAGTCCCAGCTACTCAGGAGGCTGAGGCAGGAGAATCACTTGAACCTGGGAGGTGGAGGTTGCAGTGAGCCAAGATGGCACCACTGCACTTCAGCCTGGCGATAGAGACTCCATCTCAAAAAAAAAAAAAAAAAAAAAAAAAAAAAAAAAAGAAAAAGAAAAAAAGTACAGTTTCCAACAAAAAATTTGACAAGAAAGTATGACTTGTATACCAGAAAAACAAAGCAGGAACAGAATCTGCCTAAGCAACAAGATTTTGATTTTAACAGGGAAAGCATGATTAAAGAAGTAATAGAAGGTATATGATGATATTCCACCAAATAGAGAGTATCTATCAATAGAGAGATATTTTAATAAAAAAAATTTTTTTGGGCCGGGCGCGGTGGCTCAGCCTGTAATCCCAGCACTTTGGGAGGCCGAGGCGGGTGGATCATGAGGTCAAGAGATCGAGACCATCCTGGTCAACATGGTGAAACCCCGTCTCTACTAAAAAAAAATACAAAAAACTAGCTGGGCATGGTGGCTCGTGCCTGTAATCCCAGCTACTCAGGAGGCTGAGGCAGGAGAATTGCCTGAACCCAGGAGGCGGAGGTTGCGGTGAGCCGAGATCGTGCCATTGCACTCCAGCCTGGGTAACAAGAGCGAAACTCCGTCTCAAAAAAAAAAAAAAAAAAAAAAATTTGTAGAGACGGGGTCTCACCATGTTGCCCAATACATTTTTTTAAAAATAGAAATAATGGAGTTGAAAAGTAAAATATCTGAAATAAAAAAATTCACAAGAGGGCTGAACAGATTTTTTTTTTTTTTTTTTTTAGTTGAGTTTTGCTCTTATTGCCCAGTGCAATGCCATGATCTCGGCTCACTGCAACGTCCACCTCCGGGCTTCAAGTGATTCCTCTGCCTCAGCCTCCCGAGTAGCTGGGATTACAGGCATATGCCACCATGCCCAGCTAATTTTGTACTTTTAGTCGAGATGGGGTTTCTCCATGTTGGTTAGGCTGGTCTAAACTCCTGACCTCAGGTGATCTGCCCACCTCAGCCTCCCAAAGTGCTGGGATTACAGGCATGAACCACCACGCTGGACCTGGCCAGTAGATTTCGATGGATGAAAAAAGATTTAGTTAACTTGATAGTGATTAGATATTGATAGAAATTATACAAACTGAATTAACAGGAAAAAAAAAAGGAAACATGAACAGCAACTCTAGAGAATGTGAACACTATTAAGCACACCCACATACACATAATGGGAACAGCAGAAGGAGAGAAAAGAAAAAGGAGAAAGAAAAATATATGAAATAGTAATGACTGAAAACTTCTAAAATTTATTGAAGAACAATAATCTACGCATCCAGAAAGTTCAACGAACTAAAAAAGAATATATGAAAATAGACCCAC